CAGAGATTCAACAAAATTGCAGTGTGAAACTACACCATTGAGCAAATTAATTGAAACAACCGCTTACTTTCAAATTCGTAAACTTAAGGAATAAGCGTATATGCTAGGCCACAAAAATCTCCTGAGCCGACCAAGTATAGAAATGAATACAATATGGGAACCAGTAATAAGGAGTGCCAGAGAAAAACGATAATAACAACAAAAATTGCAATATCAGCTCTGGTAAAATCATGCAATGATAAACAGAAAAAATTGCAATATGAGCACTGGTAAAAAAAAAAAAAGTTGCTGAAGACATTAGATTTATAATACCCAGAAATTCATACACAGATGTCCTCAATGACACAGTGGATAAAGGCGTTGGTTAGATCCAGTGATAGGACCCAAAAAGTGTGAGTTCAATACCCGGTTAAGGCAGTGGAGAACTTTCAGAGGGAAATTAACAGGAGATAACTGATAATTGACATCCATTAAACATGGCACGTGGAACTAGAACAGTCTACCCCTGTGAGCGAAATAGAGGGTTCAGTTCGACATTCCAACCACCTGAAGAAGGCTGGAGCGTACAACGTTGTAATAAATATGGCGACAAAGATGCGAGCAATTGTTCGAATAATGTAAATAATGTTGGTACATTATGAAGAAAAAATATATTATTCTCCGATTCGAAGCCATTTTGTTAGTGCCATTTTGACATGAGCAAGAATTATCTTTATCCTCCTCATTGACGTTAATTATCTGGTTAATTAGCAATCAAAAGATTTATTTCAAGATACGTTTAATCTGGTTTCAGAAAGATGGGCCTTGTCTTTTTCAATTTCTCTCTCTTTCTCTATCTCTATCTCTCTCTCTCTTCCTCTCACGCTAGCGCATATGCACTCTCACTCACACTCGCACTCTCATTCCATCTCTCTCACTCATTTTCACTTTTCTCCCTTTCACACTCTCACTCTCTCTATATACGCCCACTCTGCATCTGACATTGATGACGTCACTTCCTCTACATTTTCTCAATTTCTCAATTTCTTACCCTGTCACTCATTTTCACACACGTCTTCTTTCAATCTCTCGCCTTCACTTCTCCTCCTCAATCTCACTCTCTCTCACTCTTTCATCCTCTAATTTTGGTGGCCTATGGTGTAGTAAACTATGTATGATTAGTAAACTAATTACTTTATTTACATTGTTCGAACTTTATTGTCTTTTCCACGATGTTACGCTCCGGTCCTCTTCAGGTTATGTCTATATTTCTGAGATAAGGTATTGTAACTATTTACACTATTTACATTGCTCGCACTGTTGTCCTCATCTTATTCTCCTATTCACGACGCTTCGGCCGTTGTACTTCAGATGACTGAAATTTTGAATTGAACCCTTTATTTCATCCACCGGGGTATATTGTTCTAATTCCAAGTGCCACTTCTGGATGTCTCAGTTGTCGCCTTTTAACTCAATTCTCCAAGTTTTTTTTTCACTACTGGAGTAGCCAACTGACAACTCCAAGTCACTGGATCCAACCAATGCTTCTATCCACTGGGTCATGTGTCCGTGAGGTTATACATTAATGAGGAGGATAAAAATAATTTGTAATAAGTTCTCGATCATGTCAAAATTGCACTGATAAAATGGCTTCCAATCACCTGAAGAAGGCTGGAGCGTACAACGACCGAAGCGTCGTTAATATGGCGATAAAGATGAGGACAACAGTCCGAGCAATGTAAATAATTACAATACCTCATCTCAGAAATATAGACAGATATTAGTAAACTAATCTTTCAGAACATTACTAGCGTAATGAGGGGGGTCTCATTGGGTGCACTAAACGTGTGACCTTATATCAGCATAAGCTAAACTATGTAAATGTCAAGAAATTTAATTTCTTACTACTATTGGATTTGTTTTGTCGCTGATGTATATTTCCTATTGGTTTCAGAGGTCTGAGTTCAAATTTAGGCAAAAATCCATTGTTTGTGGCTGATGTATATTTCCCGTTGGTTTTTGTGGCATGACATCTGGGTTCAGACATTTGGGTTCGAAAAAAAAATCCATAGTTTGTGGCTGATGTATATTTCAGACATCTGTTTGGTTTGTGGCTGAGGTCTGGGTTCGAATTTAGGCAAAAATCCATTGTTTGTGGCTGATGTATATTTCCCGTTGGTTTCAGAGGTCTGGGTTCGAATTTAGGCAAAAATCCATAGTTTGTGGCTGATGTATATTTCCCGTTGGTTTCAGAGGTGTGGGTTCGAATTTAGGTAAAAATCAGAACTTTGAATACTGATTTTAAAAGCTTTTTCTTACGATTACTTTCTACATCCAACTCATAGCAATTAGCCTTGTACCAGATTAATCAAAGGCTAGTAAATATTAATAATAATGGCGAAGACTGAAAAAGGCATAAATTATTCACAGCCTCCGAAACGATAACTTTGCGATATTCTGGAGAAAGAAAACCTAATAAATAACAAACAAGTCTAATTGAGAAGAGATTATCTTGAGTAGAGAAAGTTATTGAAACTTCAAAAATCGATAGCCGACTGATATGAAGAATTTACTGAGTAGATCTTCAGGTGGCATGAATAAAATCACTTGTAGTTCAAAGCTTTTCTCTTGTAAAAGTTCAAAGCTTTCCTCATGGCCTCTAAAGATGTTCAACTAATAAGACATCTTTCAATAACCATTTACTTACTGATCTAAAATGTATGACATGTGTGTGAATATGAGTGTTCATATATATATATATATATATATATAAACCAGTCATTTTAATATCTCGAGGATCCGTTGCGCGGCCTTGACGGAATTTTTCAGGAAATCAGAGGGCACACCGTTACTTTGCATGCATAAAAAGCACTTATTCTTAGTGTTACTCAATCGATAGTGAAAATATATTGACTGACTGTGTGTCTGTTCACAATGACGAAATAAGCAGGTTTATTGTGGAAAACATTGCATAACTCATATCTGTCAGCACCCCCACCCTTCTCCAACCTGCTATAGTTCAAATTAGGCTTCCTTCAATAGCTGATCTTTCTCACAGAAGAACCGTCAAAAATACCATAAACAAGATGAAGGAGATCGCTCACCTGACGAAGATCCCGAAACAGGAATCTGAAGACTGTTTTGAAACGGGAAAAGTATGCTATGAAATGTTTGTTAGGTCATACGTTTAAAGGGACAAAGAAATCATAGAGCCCTTGGTAGACTATTTCTACATTTGTATTAATTAGTTACTTTTTCGTAGATATACACATATAAACACATCCACAAAAGAGAAAGGAAACATAAAAGAAAACTCTTCTAACGTTTTCGGCATTTTCACCATTGCAGTTTACGTTACAAGTTTTGCAACTAAAAGCGCTACCCGTTCAAAACAACAGTTTTTCATACAGCCATTTCATAGATTAAAAAAAAGCAAAACAGTTGTTTAACTTCAATATTTCGATGTTCTGTGGCAACAATGGTCAAATAATGACCTCAAATAACAATTTTTTTTAGATATTCATCTAAATTTTTCTCTCTTGTAATTGAGCTTTGCTTCAAGCAGAAATTTTGAAAATAATTACTATTTTATAAGTTTTGTCTCCAAAGAAAGGTGAGTTGTTATTTTGAGATCATTCAGTACAGAATCACATTAATTTTTCTGCGATAACGAAACAAAATGAATCTTTTCGATGAAAGTTAGCGAATCATTTCTACACGTTTTATGTCTTCAATAATTTTTGCCTAACAACAACCTCCAGATTGATTAAAAAAACTCAACCGATATTTAAACTTTAAACGACATGTAATGTTTATTCGTGTCCAGAAACTGTGCCTATTTTTTGACAGTTTCTTCTAAAGTAAAACATTTGTTCTTCATCTTTTATTTTAACCCAATTTCTAAGGCAAATCTGATTTTATCTAACTTTTTGGCTTCGTCTCGGTTTTGATTAAAGATAAGCTTAAAATGACAACTTTTATGAAATGCATTCTTTATAAAAGAACAATCATAGCCTTCGGCCATACTTTAATACCAGGTTTATCTTAGTTTCGCAAAATAGCAGAAAGCCGAACCAATAAGGACGAGCGATGGTCTGCAATAAAATCGCTCTGTAGCAGGCGACCAATCCATCTTATAATTTACATCGGTATCTATCTATTGACAAAAATCTTTCGCGTTTATTTGACTTATTTTCTAATCCTATATTTTTGTCGTCCGATTCTTACATATTTATTTCTTAGCTTTTGCTGTGTTCTATTTACACTCAACTCCAGAGGCAGATGATCAGCCTCTTCATTCTAAATGGCAAATTCACACTTTCAGCTAAATAAGCTTTCAAGGACTCAGTCACTGCAGAGCAACCTAACAAACTTGTAAAGGAAACAAAAAACATTGCAAGGAAATAAAAAAAAATGTACGCCATTTTACCCCTCAATTGATCACTGACCCGAAAGATTAGAAATATTGTTCAATCGGTTATAAAATTGTCGATGCACTTGTTATAAGATCGACCTTTTGCGATACCAGAATGCAAAGAATAGACAACACGGTAAAGAATATCTTGAAAGGAAATGCATATCATTCTGGTAAGTCTCAAAAGGAAAGAATTTCAGTAAACAAACTCTTAGATTTTTTTTGTTAACTGTTTATGAAGCTTAAGTTTAATTTGGAAAAAAAAACATCGGCAATGGTAGAAAAAACCTTGTGGGAATAGAACTTGCGCAATGGTTTGCTCGATTAGCCTCCTGAACTGTAGTAGTCGCCCACAAAATGTCTTTTTCCCTACTGATGATGGCAGCACACAAATCTTCGAAACTCAGAAAAGATGATTTTTTTCTTTAACTCAAAGTATTTGTTTTAAAGTTGTTTCGTTGAAATTCGAATATCCATTTCTTCAGACAAGTTAATTCTCTGTTGTTAATGCCAAATGGGTGACTTTTTGAAACTGAAATGCTACCAGTAAAAACTTAAAAATGTAAGAAATGACTGTCAAAATAACGACGCTTCTTAGGTTTGGCGAATGAAGTACGTGCGTACTTCCAAGTGGTCGAAAACAAGTAAAGCCCAGAATTTTAATGTTGATTTTCACGGTAGGCAGACCCACGTCCACTTCACACATCACAACCTTTCTTACCAAGTAGGTATATCATTATAGTTGGCATTTGTACGATATAATTTCAATTCAATTCTTAAAATGAGACTAATATCTCTTGCTTAAAAAATAATGTCTGAGGGTGTCTTTTTTTGCTCCGGTTTTATTATTTGTTTCTACCACTGAACAGCATCTACAATAATAGTTTTTGTGAACGACACAAATAGATTTCGAGTTTGATTTTGATTCCCAATTGTTATTTTTTATTATTTTCTTCCCCTCATTGATCATTTCCGAATATCAGATTTAAAAGTGAGGAATTAGTTGGCAACGTTGTTCTCATGAAAAAAATCCCTACTTATTAAAGTTGTGTTGATTCCTAAGGAAGCTGACAAAAATTCGTCACAAGCCAGAGTCATTCAGATTCTAAATTCAAATTATGCGCAATTTTCTAAGAAAATTTCCTTTCCTTCTACTTCTTAAATTCACTTAAATCTCATCAATTATTTCTCATATTCCGATATTGAGTGTTATATTTTCTTTCCAGACATTATATATATATATATATATATATATATATATATATATATATATATATATATATATATATATATATAATATAATATAAAAGGTTCAAACACTAATAATCCATGGTTATAATTTATTACATTGGAACCGTAATCACGATCCAATTCATCAGACCTACAAATTCAAAAAAGCATATATATATATATATATATATATATATATATATATATATATATATATATATATATATATGTATATATATATATATATATATATATATGTATGTATATATATATTTGTCTATTTTCCCTTTCTCTCGCTCTCCCCCCCCCCCTCTCTCTCTCTCTCTCTCTCTCTCTCTATATATATATATATATATATATATATATATATATATATATATATATATATAGGAATGGGTAAGATGAAAAAATCTACATACTCATATATTTGCACATACCGTTATGAAACAGTGCTATCGACGTTGTATATTATGTATATTGACTAATATATATATATATATATATATATATATATATATATATATATAGTGTGTGTGTTTCAAAAATACTTTTGCAAACTATGAGGGAGGGTTCCTCACATCAGAACAAAACAAAAGATTATATAAACATATGTTCACAAATCCTTTGTTTTTGAGTTATGTTTAAACTTTACGGCAGACGCTGTTAAATGTGCGATCCAATATACTATCCAAAAATACTTTTACAGACTAGGGCGGGGGGCAGGTTTCTGACAGCAAAACAAGATAAAATGTCCATATAAACATGTGTCCAAAAGGCTATCGTTGACCTCAGATACTTTCAAATACCCCCGCAAGGTGTCGAATGGTTTCACCGGCACCCATGACACGTTGACGAAACATCTCTGCATTATTAATGTTTGCTGCATAAACCAATTGTTTTTTGGTGACCCCACATTTCAAAACCCAAAGGACTGATGTCGAGGGAACGTACAGACCATGGAACTGGTCCTCCCCTACTTATCCATGTTTCATGATAGATGCAAGCCAGTGCATCGCAAACAATGTGAGTAAAATGTGCTGACGCCCCATCTTGCAGGAACCACATGCGTCTTCGTATGAGCAGGGATACATCCTCTAGAATGTCTGAAAGTGTGCTCGAAATAAAGTCCTTGTACACAGCTCCTATAAGACTTGCTGGAAGAGCATATGGACCTACAAGACAGTCACCTAAAAATTCCAGCACATACACTAATCGTAAATTGATGCTGGTGTCTTGCCTGTATTGTAGCATGAGGATTTCAATCTGCCCACAAATGTTGTTTGTGTAAATTTATTATTCTATCTCTTCTAAATGTTGCCTCATCTGTAAAAGAAAAACATCAATAAACCATCTGCAAAAGTTCTCCCGTGGTGAGTGATCAGAGGGCGAAAGACCCTGCACATGTTGCAAATGATATAAGTACAGGAGCTGCTCTTGAAGTACTCCCCATTTGGTACTATGAGATGTACAACATGCTGGGCCACTTCACGTGTGCTGATACCTAGATCGTCTCCGGCAGCCCGTAGAATGTGTTCATCGTGGCCAGCTGTACGAGCGAATCTCGGGCTTCCTCAATCCATAATTTGTGGTGCCAAGGATCCTGTCTCAGAAACGCGACGATAAACAGCAGCAAAGGTTGAATGACTCAGCTGTCTTCGGTCTGGAAACTCAATCTGATACAGCTGTGCAGCCTCACGTCCATTACCATTCGCACGGCCGGATGTAAAAATCATATCTGCCTGCTCATGATATAAATATCCTGCTATTGTTAAACAGAAAAACCTCTCAGGTAACTCACTACAACACACGTTAAACGTTGAAGACACAAATGTAAAGACATGGTTCGTTGTATAGTTTAGACATGTTCTGTCTACTTATTTTAGATACGATCCTTTCATACTCCCGGATAAGTTTTTTGATGTCATTATTGAAGGACTAGAAAAATCGTCGTGTTTATACATATTTGTTTTATTTACAAGTACTTTCGACGTATACTGCCGAAATATACGCATATATATATGTGTGTGTGTTTGTGTTTATGTTTGTGTAAGCAACTAGCCACGTACACACACACACACACACAATATATATATATATATATATATATATATATATATATTGATAATATTAGTCGTCAATATATATATATAAATTTCCAAGAGGATAGAATTCCAAGACAGAGCAAGAATATAATAAAAAGGCTCAAACACTATTATTCCATGGTTATAATTTATTACATTGGAATCGTAATCACGACCCAATTCATCAGACCTATAAATTCAAAAAATTTATTAATTTTTAGGCCTGATGATTTGGATCGTGATTACGATTCCAATGTAATAAATTATAACCATGGAATATTATTGTTTGAGTCTTATATATATATATATATATATATATATATATATATATATATATATATATATATATTCGACAAATATATTATTTTACTCAGCTTACACTTTTCTTTGAAATGATGTATTCATGAAAATATTGCCATTATTTTTTTTGTTGTTGTTTTTTTCTTTTCGTATGTTTTCTCAAACAAGTTTGACGCTATGATTTTTTTTTTTTGTTTCAGATCATCTTTTTTGTGCTTCTTCTCATCGTCGCCAACTTAAACATGAACGTATCCGGCGCTCGGGGACTGTGCACATTGTGCTGCTTGGGGCTTTTGGTATTGCTCGCATCTTCTGATGCTCATGCCTCTGTAGTCGTGCCCAACCGGTCACAACGTGGCTTCAAAGACAATGTTTCAAATCGTATTGCCCATGGCTTCGGAAAGAGAACATTTCAGGACACATACGACCTTTCACCTTCATTAGATGATGGGTAGGTATGCGTCCTTACGACGCGTTCATTCCAAATGGCGGGAGACACCCGATTTTTTAAAAAAAATTTTATCCAATCACAAAACGATTTGCCCGAACCGATTTTTGTCTTTGAAAGTTTCTGCATAACGTGTTTTCCTTCATATTAAATGGCTGAATATTTGCATGAAAACAAAACCCTTCTAGAGTATTTTCAAATATCGCCCAACATAAACGTCACAATATTCTCTTTTCAGCACCCCCATATGTCCAGCGTATTATATCTTATATAAAAATGAAATTTTCTTGTGTATTCTTATGTTTTCCAAAACGATGTCACTCAGAATATTTGCAAACACTTTACATATATATATATATATATATATATATATATATTATGAAATGAACAAAGTCCGACAATTATTTTAAGACATTTTTATGTTTATACATTCTTTTTTATAGATACAAATATTTAAGTAAATGCTCTGTTTATAATAAACAGTATTAACAACATTTACCGGCCTGAATGTCCGATAGATTTTCATAGAAAATATGTGTCCTCCAACAGGAATCGAACCTGTATCCCATACATAATATATAAACGTAAAAATGTCTTAAAATAATTGTCGGACTTTGTCCATTTAATAATATGTGACGTCATTTGTTTACATTTGGATACGCATTGAGCAGATATGAATGTATGTGAGAGAATCATTGAAGATTGTAGTTTAAAACCAGTAAAATCGACCTTGCTAACCGAACGATCCTCTGTGGCTCAATCGGGAAAAGCACGTCAGGCTATATGACGGTTCCGTATGTATGTGTATTTATCTATATATGCATAGAAAATAGATATGATGGGAAAAGAGAATACAGGTTCGATTCTTCTCGGAGACACAATATTTCATAACCAAGACGTCTCAATCTAGGCCGGTTGCTCAAGAAAATAAAACAAAAACAGGAATAGCAACTGAAATACGAAGGCGAATTGGTAAAGGCACGTTTTGGTTATAGAAACGGTTTTCCCTGATGATAAAAAGGGATACAGGTTCGATTCCTATCGGAGGCACACTCTTTCCTTAGTCGGACTTCTCAATCTAGGCCGGTTGTTATCAATTTCACTGTTTCAGAAAATAAAAAAAACAAGGATAGCAACTCGTGTAGGTCATCAACAATAACGTCTAGAGCAATAAGAAATAGATAGATCTCTCTCTCTCTCTCTCTATATATATATATATATATATATATATATACAGGGAGAGAGACAAACATATCAATTTCTTATTATTCCATTATTTTTAATCTTATCTACCTATATATATATATATATATATATATATATATATATATATATATATATATATATATATATTACATCCACACATAGAAAAGATTAAAAATAATGGAAGCCTTAATAAAAAGAAAAAAGCCAGCACTTAATAATAAAACAATGTGCTACTTGTGTTCGGAAAGTAAGACATCTCTAAACTCTAAAAAAACATACACACAACCCACACACCCAATTAAATTGGAAAAAATAAATCATCCTATAATGCTAAAATTATAGCCGAAGTGCTCAGACGGGACAGTTCCTATAGACTTTGTGTCCCAAAAGAAAACTTTTGTTTAATTTTTCTTGTGTTCGAAAACAAAAAAAATAAACAAAAGAAAATTTAATGAAACATGTAGAAATGAAGGATTGCTCATATATATATATATATATATATATATATATATATATATTTAGAGAGAGAGAGAGAGAGAGAGAGAGAGAGAGAGAATGGAGGAGGAGTGAAGAGAGAAAGAATGAGAGTATGAGTGTGTGTGTGTGTGTGATTAGTAACCTTTTCGTTACTGAGGTCCTTTGATACAATCTGTTGGTATAGTTGGTATGACCCGTCGTATTGTAACAGTTAAATTCCGAAAAGTAAACAATCGTCAACCCTGACGATAATGTCTAAAAAAAGACTGTCGCCCCTAAGTGTTGACTTCAATGTTCACTTTTATATTTACACACGCTCTATCTCTGATAATGAGCACGGATAGATATAGCACACCTTAAGACTAATTAATATTGGAAAATTCATAGAAAAAAAGTTAATTTTTTATTCAGTTTATTAAACAGGTTGTTAATTTTTTTTTTCCCACGGAAAATAACTTGTTGAAAATAATTTTCTAAGAATGTACTAGACGATCCTAAGGAAAAAAAAGGAAAGAAAAGAAAAAAGGAAGGAAGGGAAGAAAAAAAAAGAATTATGGTAGAGATAGGTCTGCGTGAACATTTTTTTTTTTAAAACAAAGGGAAGAATAGAATTCCATATATCGACCAGATGTCGGTCAGAGGCCTGACCGACTATATTTATCAATTTGGAGTGAAGAGAAATTTTTCCAATAGAAATGAATTTTACTTAAAGAGAAAGTGTCTTTGGGTTGGGGAAGGACTTTTGTTTAATTGACCTTTGGACACCCACGTTAAGAAAGTAACTATCAGGAAAAAAAAGAGGTAAAAAGAAGAGCAATTGTTTTGGACCACAGGCGCCAAGAAGGCGGAAAAGAACCTTTTCTAAAGTCAAGACTAATTAGCAGCGGGCTACAAAGTCCAGGTGATGAAGATTGTCATTTTGCGTATATATTTATAAAACCAGCACGAGGTATAACAAAAGGGAGAGGGTGTTCGGTCATAACAATTGGTCGAATACAATCACGAGACCGCGGAAGAAGAAGGAAAAAAAAAACCTCGATCAATAACTGTTGGACGAGGCGGTCACGGGGCTGCGGAAAAGAAGAGAAAGAAAGGTGATCGGGAGCGATTGGTTGAGAGCGATCACCCGACATGAGAGAGACTAAGAGAAATAGATATGCGCCGCCCCACCAAGAGCTGTGAGAGAAAGTGTGAAAACAATAACGATAATGGAAAGTCAAAATTAATACGACTTTTGAAATTATCGAGACCCCCTGACGCCGACCGACCCACCCCGGTTTGTTGCGGCGTCAATATAAGCAGGACCCCAGTCGGCAGAAATCCTTTTGGTTACTGAGGTGTTGGTATAGTTGGTATGACGCGGAGATGAGGAACAATGAAGCGTCGTATTTGGGCTAACAGTTCGGGTTCGAAAAGAACCCTCTTCCAGCCCAAGTAGTGGATGAGTCCGAAATATAGAACGAAAAAGGCCCGTCCAAACAAGTACTTTCCACTGTTGCGCCACTGAATCGAAGCAAGAAATCTTCTAATCGTCTCTCAAGAAATCTACTCTCAGAAGAAGAAGAAGAAATATAGTCGGATATATATGATATAGACGCAATCCACCTCAACCCTGACGATTGCGTCTAGCATAGAAAGTTCAGACTGTCGCCTCTAAGTGTTGACTTCAATGTTCACTTTTTTATATTTTTTGCCACCCCGTCGGACAACTCTATCTCTGATAAACACAGCGTGGGTAGCACTTTATCCTATAGATATAGCATCACCTTAAGACTATATTTCTTCATATATATATATATATATATATATATATATATATGATTCATATTATTGGATGTATTTACAAGATGATTATGTTAAATACAAAAGATATAATGTAATATAAGTGCTTTCTATTTTTATATTACATTATATCTTTGTATTTAACATAATCATCTTGTAAATACATCCAATTAATATGAATCATCCACTTGACAATACAACTAATTAATATTAATCATCTTGTCTATACAGCTAATTAATATTAATCATCGCCTTGTCAATACACCTAATTAATATTAACTATCTCCTTGTCAATACACCTACATAATATTAATCAAATCGAGCAAACTTTCTGCAGTGACAAAATTGCTACGCATTTATTGATCCACTCTCATATATCCGCTTATACATTATTATATATATATATATATATATATATATATATATATATATAAAGGCTAACAGACGTAGACCTATCAATATATACGCACGCGTTGAAAGGCATGAGAACTGAAAAGTTGGAGGTTGGTCGAGTTACAACGGAATTGCGATGTCATTTTTTTCGATGCAGTGATGGAGGATTTAAGATTTTATCACAAATATTTGATAGTTTAATGATTTTATATTGCATTCGCGTGATGATATTTTTTCAACCAAAGTAAAAACATGGAACAAGAAGTCTGTTTTTAATGTTTTTCGTCTTTGTGAATGGTAACTAGACTTCCTTATCTGTGCATCAGAAGTCCATCATACCCCAAGCTGTGTTTTCCCGTTAAAACAAAAAAAGGCTTATCGTATCCCTGATGTCTCTGAGTGGCCAAGATTCCAAAGCGATTTTCGAGGGGAGTACAGGAATTCTTATTAGAAAAAAAAACAGCTTATTTTCCCCTTCTCCATTCTGTAATATTTACTGATATTTTTACATTAAATAAACAAAAACAAAACTTCCGCTATAACAGTTACCGAACCTGCATTCATTCTGCCTTTTATCTATCCAGAAAACCTATAAGTACTTTGCATCTTTAAATGATTGATTTTCAGATAATAAAATATTTTGCAGATGCTTTTGTTCGATCAGATTGAGTGGGTCCAGTTCAAATATAAAATTATCAGAATCTTCCGTATCCATTCTCATCACCTCTTCACACTTGTCAGGAGACAATGAAATAAACGGAATATGTGATTTGTTTGAAAATAAAAATGTTCTTGAAATATTATGGGGAAAAAAATCATTTTTTTCTCTTGCTTGAAAAGAGATTTATGGTTACATTCGTATATTTATTTATAAGTAATATAGTACACAAATGTATTTCCTATCACTTCGATAAGGTTTTCGCTTTGTGTTTGTCAATATATAACAAATAATATCATTTCGGACAAAAGTATAACAAGATTTTCTGGCAAGAAAATAAAATCACTTTTGAGACGAGCGAAGTGAAAAAAGGCTTCAAGTAACATTTCTGTAAACGGTTAAGATTTTTAAGAATTGGGTATGCTTATATTTCGGTAGGAAGGTCTGTATAGGTAAAAGAATCTGTATTTGCATGCAAGTATATACGCAGTATGCAATTATCTCTGCATATCTGTATGTAGGTGTAAGTTATGTATTTATAGATATGCGTACAGTATAAAAATGTCCACTTCTGCTCGCGCGCATGCGCATGTGTTTTTATGTATTTCAATGTGTCTGCTATGAATATATGCATTCAATTAACCAAGTTTAGTTTATTTATCTGCCCAAAGGCCATTTAATATGAACTCTACATAAGGAATCGAAATCACTACTCCCTGCACCATAACAGGTACTGTGGGATAGTAATATTTGCGACGAAAGTTACCTTAACACAAAGAGTGGAGTGTGATATTTTCAATTAAGGTTACTTAAAAGCATGAACTGCAATCATTCATACAATATTGCATGTCACGTCATTTTGGTTTTAACTTGTTAGGTCTCAAATATCTGATAATAAAAGAATCCAACGATGATAACAAGGAGGCTATGTGTGTATATATACAAGTATATATGTATTCGTGTGTACATACACACGCGCAAGTTTCGTTAAAAGTCAATGTTTCTTTGTTAATCTTTCATTCATTACGCAATTTTCCGGTTTATATAATTAAAATCTTACATAGTGTTTTCGATCAAGCGATTTCGGCTATTCGTCTAGACTTTATCAAAAATCAAGATCTTAACGATTAGGAACAGTGATTATAGTTGTTTATTAATTTGTTTCTTTTGTTCATGCCAGTAAAGGATATTAAAAATTTCTTCAAATAAGCTGCTGAAAATTCGAATATGATTAACCACTTATTGATATATTCTACCGCCAGAATTTCACTTTCGTGTCGCCTCGTACGTGAAGACATCATAGCACGATAAGATCGGAATTCAAAAACGAAATTTAAAAAATCAACAATTATAATTACAAGTTTCATCTACAATTATAACGGATCTTGAAAATGGACAAAAGAAAAGTCGAAAGCACTCCATCAAAATCACTGACATCTAAACTAGGTTTACTCGTACAAAAACAACAAAAAGTAAGAAAAAAAAACAATCCTTTATCAACAATGTTTTTTGCTTATTGGAATTTTATTCCATGTGTATCAACCCTATATATATATATATATATATATATATATATATATATATATATATATATAAAAAGAAAACAGTTGATAGAACCAACGGTCAACTTGCCAAAACCTAAAACTCTTGTCCACATAAAGTCTCGAATAAAAACAACAATAATGAATATATATATATATATATATATATATATATATATATATATATATATATATATATATATGATTGGTGGTACAAAACTGGTTAGCTAACCCGTTTTTCAGTTTTATCTTTTACTTACTATCGTCATGATTGGTAATAAATATAAATTTTGTCTTTTCATAGCGGTCATATATATATATATATATATATATATATATATATATATATATATATATATATATAACACTACCTATACCTGTGTGAGTGTATACGTAAGTGTGTGTATGTATGTGTTCTCATGTGTACGTTCAAGTAATTGAAGCGAAGTATTTTATTTGTTCGCATCGTTTTCAAAAGCGAATATAAAAGAAAATTGTCCCGGTTAATAAAAATATTGTTGGTGGAAAATGTCATTTTCTAACAATGCATTCAAATGGAGACGCATACAAAAACATTTAAACATGCCAAGAGTAAAATAACGTTCATTTCAAATTTTAAACCCAATAGATTTTCTTGGACGATATTTTTATAATCTGCAGGTAAATTATTACCACTTTGGGTTTGTTAACTTGTCACTGGAAGGAAAAAGAAGAGAATAGAAAAGGAAAATTTGAATCTTCCTAGCTGTTTACTCTTAAAGTGTGTTTGGGTCTTGGCGCGTATATGTTCATGATTTTAGCAAACGTTTTTACGATGAAATGAAGACTCTTGTCAACAATAACCGTCTGGAAATTATATCCGGGTGAAAATGAAGCAAAGACAGAGAGAAATCGGACCCACAGCGCTACAAGTTTTTTTTTTTTTTTTTCCCCAACAGTCATCCCTTCTGGTGATGGCGAAGGACATTAACAATGGAGTTAATGAGTGTCACCCAACATGTCATAACAGTGTTCATAATCACATCCAATTCGCTGACCGATCATCCATCCATGTTTTATCTTGTTGACACGTCTTGATCCAAACAAATAGACCCAAGTTCCGAACAAACTCTGGAATAACGACAAAGGCGACATGTTTGTTCGTTTGCAGGCGAAAATGAAACATTCGCATCACCTCTGCTTCTCCGTATAATGAATTAGTTTACAAGAAATAAGAGGAACGGTTTTTCCCTGTTTTCCTTGTATAAATACAGTTTAATAATATTTCTTTTAGTGAGCTGTTTGTACGGAGAATGGACAGGATGGAAACGTTAGCTTCTAATTGCGATTGTATAATTAAAGTCAACCAATGAAAATTAGTGAAACAAGTGATGCAGAGCGGAAGTACAATTTCCGCTTTGCTTTGATTATGAAGAGAAAGAAGGCAGAGATTTATATACGCATATATTCACAGCATCTCAGACATCGATTTCAAAAGTAATAAAAGTCAGAAAAACACCTGCCATTCCTGATCGTATACTATAGTTTATCCTGCTGGCAGTTTTTTTCTTCCCTTTGTCAAATTCGTCAATAAGATCGTCACAATATAAGAAAATGTTATTAATTGTAGATTATTACAGTTTGTTAATATTTTGTATGTTTTATTTATTTATAATTTTATTCGTCTTTTTACGAAGGTAAGTTTGTTTTCCTTGAAGCAAGAACCAAAAATTAATTTCGTATTATATATGGGCTTCCTTTATATAACCTGTTTTTCTTTCGTATTTCTGTGAAAATCAATTTATACATGTTTGATTTGGAAATAATTTGGGCGATTTCTGCTGACATGTGAAGATTTTCTTCAATTAAACATTGCAATTAAGATTTTTTTCCAAGTTGACTAAAATAATTTTTTAAATCGTTTTTGTGTAAAGCGTTTTGTTCCGGTTTTCATATAAGAGATTCGAAGTTGAAATTATTTTTTGAAATTTTCAAAATATTTTTTCGAATTAAACCAGACTTACAACATGATGATATTGAAAATTTTACAAGTATAAGAATAATCGTGTGTTGAATATCCTCTGTGACTGAATATATTTCAGCAAACAAACGTCATTTTAGACTGGACGTCGACCAGTCTGGCCAACAGCGTGCTTACCTAAACACATCTTCGATTTACAGGTGTGGACGAGTTGTTAAAAAAACAAAAGTTCTAAAAAATATTACGGCTTAAAAAATTATTTTGTAAAACTCTATTTCGCACGCACGGGTAGCCTTTTTATTTGATACAAAATAACAGACATTGAAGATGTAACTTCAAAAGATTTACTAATCAGTTGTCAAATTCTTCAGATAGCGAGCTCTTTCGCATCTACGTTTCGTTCAATTTTTCTTCAAGAATTACTTTAACTTAAATAGATTTTCTGACACGATAATAATTTCATAACTGCTTTAAATACATTACAGTAAAAAGGATCGAATTATAAAAAAAAATGATTGTATAAAAATCATAATTGTATTTTATAGAACTTAAGACATCAAAGTTCTTGGTGTCTGAAATAATTGTAAACTTCTGTCTTGATACAGTATTCGGTGTTTGCGCCAATGTATAAAAATGCAATTCTAAATGCTAAATTTCAAGACTATCAAATCCTCTCCGTTTGAAATTCTGCCGCAACACAATCTTCCTACATTCATACATTTATTTTTGTACGAATTAAAAATTAAATGACTCAAAATACCATTTTAGCCGCATTTGTTCCAAATTAATTTATGTCTCATGCAAATATTGTTTATCTTTGTTTTGCTTCTGATTTCAAAACTGATTCTTCTAAGGACGAAAAACATTTCATGAAAGCTTTTATTTTTTGTTATTGTTGATGATGTTGATTTTTCTTTGCTACCAGGATTTCCTATTCACCATTTGAAACCCCAAATCCATCAAATATTTCCAACTTGGGCGACATTTCCCGCCTGATTTCTCTAACAGTTTATATATTTTTCTTTCTTCAGTAAGAACTTGATAACCCCAAGAAAGTTGGCAGAACTTATTATGTATGACAGAAATCTGGCTTACATTGTTGCCCTTAAATTGGACTCAAACGGTGAGTGACTCGGAAAAAAATGCACATATGAAATAAATCCAAATTAAACACTTTTTCATTGAATTAAGATTTTTGTTCAAACATTTCATAAATGTGAAATAGATTTGTAAAATAGATTAGCGACCGGGAATCTGTATTTTAAACAGCACCTCCCCACTTGTTCAAACATTTCATAAATGTGAAATAGATTTGTAAAATAGATTAGCGACCGGGAATCTGTATTCTAAACAGCACATCCCCACTTAATTAAGATGGATAACTTTAGAGGTACACCCTGCCCTACTTACAGCAGTTAGGAAAGCTAGTATTCGAATATGTGAATGAAAATTACTAAAAAAAAAATATTTTTCAAATTTTTGATCCTGAAAATAAATCGAATTGCTGTTTTTGGTTCCGGAATTATTCTATGAAATTAATAGAAATTGTTTTAAACAAATTCAATGAGTATCTCATCATAACGACAATAATTGTGTTATTAATACGTTTCTAATACATATCGATATATTTAATTGATGGTTGTATATATTTTAATAGACATAAACAGAGTCTAGTTTGTTTATTTCTCATTTAACTAGCGTGTAAAAGAAGACATTTTCTTTTCCTGGTGTTCGATTGAATCGAAATTATTATTACTCATATTAGCGACAAGGCTTTTTCCTTTACGCTTTTTTACTTGAAAATAAGGGAAAATATACTTTACAAGGGGTACTAGATTTAGCGAGAATTTGACTTCTTATAATGTTTAAATAGGATACGTCTCATAGGAAAAGAAAAGATGGATTCTTTGAATTTTTCCATTTTGAAAAACCCAGATATTCTGGTTTTGGAAATCAGAGTCGCTCACGGACTTTGTAAGGATCGAAAACATTTCGCTGAAAAAGAAAAAAATAAATAAAATACTCAATCAAAACGACATATCACGACTTCCGCCATTTAGACCAAATAGAAAGTATTAAAACCTGGTATTGCATTTACAATGGCAATTTTGTGTCAATATAACTGAAGCAATGGCTCATGTGTTTCATTTGTTGACAGTTGTAATGTCTTCTGCTTCATTGGTTACCAGCTTAGCTAAGGAAAGAGAAAAACTTCAATGCGTATTCGGTATAATTAACAAAGCAGGTTCTTTCGACTGATAATTAAAAAAAAATTGTATGTGCGTGAAACTGCACATGCAGCTGGACTAACAGACGCCCTTTTTTACCTGTATGCACTTGACTGGCAGACATTAAATTACATCTGCTTGTCCACGCGTTATTTGCTCTGTGAGACGTCGCACTTTCGTTGGCCATGTTTGGAACTGAAAACGTGAATCTGGTGCTGGCAAAAATTTGATATTTCTTATACTCTTTTTTTTTATAATTAATTTGCTGATTTTGCAAGCATTTAGAAATAACTTGGATTCTTTTCAAACACTTCTGAAATATATTTCTGTTCCCCCATCGAAGAAAAAGATGACTTTCATTTAAAGTTGACTTACGATGAATTTTAAATCGTCCTGTATGCAATTATCGGCGGTATTCTTAAGAACTTTTATTCATCCTTTACTTACCAATATCAGTTGGAACGATCCTCCAACTTTTAATATTGCATGCCATTGCTCTATCTGTAGACAAAATTATTTAATTCTTTTGTGACTAATTAATTTCAAAGTAATTTAAAATTAATAAACTGATTTCATTAATAATTCTTTCTCGCCAACGTGAAAAAGGACTTGATTTTTAATGATTCTATTTTCGTTCTTTTAAGATTTCTCCTTGCGTCTTGGTGGCTTTACCACCTTGATCGGGTGAAATTATTTAAAAAAAAAAAAAAAACTAAATGTTCTTTAAAATAAAAACAGAGGGAAAATTCATTGGACGCCATGCTGTAGAAAAATGGTTAATGATTAGCTAATATGATTTCACGTCCTAATGCGATGAGTTCAATGTTCACTTTAAACCAAGATTAGAAAATGAAGAATTAAAATTAAATGCTTTTGAATGTAGATCTCTTTTGTATTTTGAAAGAAGTAAAATATTCTGTATTCTCTGACATGATTTGAAGATATTGTTTGTTATGAAGTTTCAAATGTGGCTTCATTATGAGAAGTGAAACAACGAATTATTGGATGTTCAGATTATTTCCTGAGTTTCCCATTTTCCAATAAACAGAGAATTTCCGCCTAAATAATTTCTAGCAAGAATTCCCGGTACAGAAACCGGCTTTTTGTGTTAGGCTGTTTACTCGTTGTTGGAAGAGCGGTTCTTCTAGTTGAGAATAAACGTTAGGATATGAATTAGCAACCTTAATTTCAATATCCTCAAGACTTGGTCGGTTGGTTTCAACGAACTCTCTGACGAATTGATCAAATGAAAACTCCATCAGGAATCTTGATAAAGAAGAATAAGGTTTGGATTATCAAAATTTATACTGGAAGCAAAATTATCTTAACTGAAAAAATGTACACTTTAGTTTGTGTCAATTATTTCTACTTCGTGAATATGTAAGGCTGATATAATAACAAATTCGCTCACTTTTCTACTTGGAGGAATCGCAAAGAGTAATGTCCAAAGTGGACACTGAGATCAACATCTAGTGGCGACAGTCAGTTTTATGGTCAGTTTCATGCTTGAATGACATTTTCAGACTATTCAGTGTCCATTTTCATATTTACCGACACTCTACCCTGATACACACTGATATTGAGCCCTTTTATCCATAAATAGAGCATACCTTAAAACTATATTTTTTCATATTATATATATATATATATATATATATATATATAATATAAAAGGCTCAGTCACTAATATTCCATGGTTATAATTTATTACTTTAAATTATGAAAATATTATATATATATATATATATATATATATATATATATATATATATATATATTTGGGATAACGATATATAAAGTTTTATATATGAAGAATAGTTGTGAAGGAAAGATGTATGATAAAATGCAAAAGGTTTTCGTGTGACACGTTTCATCCCTTTAGGACTTCATCAGACTTGGTTTGTGTACGTTGATGCGACAACCCGTTTTTGCGTATGTGTTGTCGCATCAATGTAAACAAACCAAGTCCGATAAAGTGGACGAAACACTATACTTTTACACTTTGTCATATATATATATATATATATATATATATATATATATATATATATATATAGTCTGCAGCTTATATTTTTTGTCCTAAAGAAACAATTTATACAAAGAATTAAATAGCAATGTTAATGTTATTAGTGGAGAAATCACTTCGCTAACAGAACTTAATGGAACATTAACTTACTATCAATTCCTTAAATAATAAGATCCTTATATTCGAGTTGTTAGATGGAAGACACATGTTAAGTATTTTCGACAATTTCAAACTGTCATCTTAAGGGCACAATATTTTCCCATACATAGGCAAACACTAAGACGAAATATGTGTAGACCGAAAGATTTTTTAAAAATTATGTTATTTATTGACAGTTGAATATATGTTTTGGAGCGTGCGATGCCGCGACGTTAGAGTTCTTGTTCAAATCGTTCAAGTGAGAATTTTGTTTGAATTTTAAAGTTATAAATCCACGAATTCTCACTCGATCGATTTGAACAAAAACTCTAGCGTCGATTTCCTGATCTTGATTTCGCGTGTGTCATATTCGGCATTTAGCTATTTTATTGCCGTATTTATTCTACGGATGTACATAAGTGACTCAAATAATTCGCTGCCAGTTCTCAATTAAATTTATTTATCGAAAACCTTCACAAGAAATCATTCCCACTTGTTAACTATTTTGTTTATCCTTTTCTTTGCAGGTGATGGTGTAATCTCAATGAATGAGTTAATCTTAAAAGATTACGTCTAAAAATATTCGACTGTTGACCAGGCCGGACAATATTCTTCCACCCCCGTTAGCCAATTTCATGTTCAATGGTCACTAATGAAACTGGTCACCTGGGAAAGTCGAAACGACCGACCAACAAACAGGCGCATCTGTGATAGACGACCTTGTAGCTTCTTGTGCGTCAGCAAGCAGAACTTTACTTTGCCCCGTTCTATCGATCCCATGATTCATTGTGACCGAAAAAAAAACATTGAATGATATTCATCATCTTTCTGTGTAAAACCAGATTCGTCCAATAAAACTTTAAGCAGATCAACGAAGAAAGATTGGCCTTTTCACTATTTTCACTTTCAGAGAAAACAACAAAGACATAATTTTTTTTTTTTTTTTTTTTTTAGAAGAATGCAAATCTTGTCTTTAATATTTTGCTATATTTTGTTTAAGTATTTTGCATTTTTCAGAAAAGAAATCCTTAAAAATTAATTTCAACGGGGTTTTGAATATTTCTTCAAAATCGTTCAGTAATCTTACGAGCCTAATAGACGAACAGGAGACTTTTTTTTATATTTTTATTTATTTTTTTAAGGAAATTTGCTGACTAACCACAGGAGCTTAAAACCATCCCGTTTAAAATAATTTAAATGATTTCCAGACACAACTTTTATTAAGACCTTCTGTTTACTGCATATTGAGAAGAATTTCGACCACTCCAGAATTTAAGTCCACAATAATTTTATCCAATAATTATTCTTTACTGATTAGCCAGGCAATTGATTGGCACCAGACTACAGAAATTCTTCTCTGTATATTTGTTCCTTATATTAAGATTGTCACAGATAAACAAGAAATTTGCTCAATAATTAATTCTATTCTGATTAGTCTGATATAGATAATTAGAAATTTCTTTGTATTAATAAGAATGAGTTAATCTGGAAAAAGACAGTAAATTCATGATTAAATAATTTAATGATCTTACGGTAAAGTGCTGCCAAATAGCATAGATTATTTCCCATTAGTATAAAAAATGATTTTGTTAATCTGGAATTAGACCACGCGGTATTGCTTGACTGCACAATAACAATGTTAACTATTTCTTGCAAGATGTTACACATAACGAGTTATTTATTTTCAAGCAATTTTAAAAAGTTTTGTGGTGTCAACAAACACTCGGTGCCACTTTTGTAATGCCAACGAATACTCATTGTCACTTTCGTAATGCTCGTTGTAGTAGAGACTTTGTAATCGCAGATACAACTATAATATGCCGTTGAACAATACTGATGTCAGACGCCTTCGAATAGCACTCGCACTATTAATACTTGCTCGATAATACTCGCTCGAAAAGTAACCACGGAATAGTGAATAGTATAGAGAATAGCGGTCTGTATAGTAATAGAGTAGAAATAGATCAGTTAGACGTCACGCAACTACCTATATATGCGTTTCCTCTATGGTCACGTGGTCTACTTAATTCAATAATGGGATCGCCCGTGTTTGCTCACTGGCGATCTATGTTCAAACTCAAGTGTCGGCAACGACACTTTATTCCTATATAACAAAAAAGTAACATTAATATGCCTTGGAAGTTTTAAAAGGGTCCAATGTATTTGTTAAAAGGGTACAAATTCTTACATCATGATTTACAGTGTAAGCATTGAATAATCTGCCAAAAATGGTTTAACGAAATTCCCCCCGTAATTTTTCTCTGGGTCTTCTATAAGGATAAAAGTACTTTCGTCATTATTGACTCCCCCATAATCTACAAATCTACCATTCGCCCTTGCATGGAGTATTGCTGCCATATATTGTTTGGTGCCCCTTCTATTTGTCTCAAGGTTCTTGATAAGATCCAGAGACGGATATGCAATGTAATTGGCCCTAATCTGGCATTTCGTCTGCAGTCGCTCTCTCACAGACGTGCCGTCGCCCCCTCTGTCTTTTTACAAATACATTCATGGTAACTGCCCTGATGAACTGCTTTCATTGGTTCCCAAACTTCATGAATTTAAGCGTTCTACTAGGCTGGCATCTCGCTCACACCCTTTTCACTGTCGAAACTGTTAAATGTAGCCGTCTCATCTACTGCAATAACTTCATGTCTCGCACCTCTCGCCTGTGGAACTCTGTCCCTTTTTACTGTTTCCCTGATAGCTATAATCTCCAACTATTCAAATTTAATGTCAATCGACGTCTCCAGATGCCTTGATCTATTCCTTATCCTTCTCTTCATCCTTTTCTACATCACTCCTATTTGCTCTCGCTCCAACTCTCTGTAACACCATGCGTGCTAGTGGCTTCCCTCCCTGCTTGGGGTGAAACGCTTAAAAAAAAAAGAAAAAGAAAGAATATAAGAAAATTCATAATTATTTGCTTCTAATCTTTCGAATGGTCTCCGTATGTTCAGAAAACAGACGTTTAGTCGAAAAGGAATAAATGTTATGAGAAAATATAAGATTTAGCAAATGTCCAGGCCAACTTGATTATTTGTCAGAATGTATCCTGTGTCTGGTAAAAGGATACAAGTAATTCATAATTGTTGACTTCAGCATTGTTGTAAGTTATCCCAAAGATAAAGAATATTTGTTCAGAAAGCACGAGTCGAAAGATATCTTACTTCATAATTAATTATTTCCGTATCTTATCATATTTCGGCAAATGACTACGAAATTTCCATATTTCTGCAAAAACTATTAGTGTCAATGATGCAAGGGATTTAAAAATTATTTATGTTGTGTCCTTGTTAGGGCCAAAAATAAAAACACAAGAGAGGAATCGATTTAAACAAATATATTAACAGAAACAGTAATACAAACATATACAAACAAGAGTATTAAAGCAAGAATGTTCGGTCTGTCAGAGTTGACTGCTGAAAACCTCCCTCTCTAAAAGGCAGTACCTTCTCCTATTTATAGCTGGGAGAGTCCATGCGTACGTGGGTAAATTACCATAACAATTTAGGACCTCATAGATCAAAGAATGCAGAAACGATGACCCGCAATTTCTTTATTTTTAAATGCCATACCTCTTCAGAACGTGGGTAGTGACAACTCTCCACTAATTACTTTTTGTTATTATCTGTGAATTGTGATAGTTTCTTGGGAAACATAGTGGAGGGATTTCGTGTTACTTTCTCCACAGTTTTGAATTCAGGATCATCTTTCACCTAGACTGTCTGCTACCCAAACCGAGAGAATTCAGTCTACTCTTATATTTAACCCATAACTGATGTCAGGAAAGATGGATTCATGCCTTTCCTAAGAGCAAAATTTAAAAGGGAATGTAACAAACGAAGCTGAAATTTGTACTCGGCTCTTAGCAATGTTTCTCCCTTTTCTAATCTTCCCGTGCCTATTCCATCATCCATTTGCACAAACTCACTACATCCCTCATCTTTCTTATCCTCGATATGACCTGTGAGAGTTATGTTTTCCAACCCTCCTTTCAAAATATAAAGCTTTAAAAATATATATTTACAATATGAAATATGTGTCCAAGTAATTTCAGTCGTCTTTTTCTGATACTGAGTATGTGTTCTTTTTGTTACAATTTCTCATTACTCACTAACTCCGTTCATGAAATCCTCAGTATTCTTCTGTAGAGTCACATTTCTGTTGTCTCCAGTTTCCTCTTCATTTGTAGGGAGATTGTTCAGGATTCATTATCATACAAGAGGATTGATATCATATAGCAATTCAGGATTCACTATTATACAAGAGGATAGATATCATATAGCAATTCAGGATTCACTATTATACAAGAGGATTGATATCATATAGCAATTCTGGATTCACTATTATACAAGAGGATAGATATCATATAGCAATTCAGGATTCACTATTATATAAGAGAATTGATATCATATATCAATTCAGCACTCTTTTCTTTGTTTCTAACGAAAGTTTCCTGTTTCTTACGATACATTAACAACAAAGACATTCCAGTGAAGTAAATGCGGTGAACATAAAGAGGTTTTAATAGGGAAGATAAGTTGCGTGAAGCAAACTCGCAAAAGGATTTCTGAACTGCACCTGTTGTCGTTTTACGATAATCGTATCCAAATTTGATACCATGTTATATCTTAAATCTCCCCCCGGACCTCATCGCGGTCTTTCTGTTGCGATTCAGGACCAACTTATCTTTCCATCTTCTATGACAAAAAAAAACATATCAGTTGAAGACTTCCAACAGCAACAAAAAATAAAATGTGTACGGCATGTAATCAGAAAATAATGATATAAACAAGATATTAACTTTTCATATTAAATTCAACGCTCTGTTAAGAAGAACACTTCCATCAATATTAGAATGAGCAATAAAATTGAGTAAATTTGAAAATCTATTGCCCTCTTTTGAGAAGAAAACATCCATCAATATTAGAATGAGCAATAAAATTGAGTATATTTGAAAATCTATTGCCCTCTCTTAAGAAGAAATCTTCCAGCAATATTAGAATGAGCAATAAAATTGAGTTAATTTGAAAATTTATTCCCCTCTGTTGAGAAGAAAACATCCATCAATATTTGAATGAGCAATAAAATTGAGTAAATTTGAAAATCTATTGCCCTCTCTTGAGAAGAACATTTCCATCAATATTAGAATGAGCAATAAAATTGAGTTAATTTGAAAAATTATTCCCCTCTGTTGAGAAGAAATCTTCCATCAATATTGGAAAGAGCAATAAAATTGAGTAAATTCGAAAATCTATTCATTTCTGTTTTAATACAAAAAGATATTATAAATCCCAACCGATAGTAATTCTGTTTGAGCCATAAATGCTGAATGTTTCTTAATATCAAGTTTCTTGTAGTTTATGGAACAAATCATATTCCTGATAAAGAATTTCTAATTCCGAATATTATCTGAAAATATCGACCATATAATGTCAGCCTGTTCGTATCGAAATAAATATTTCTTCTTAAAGGAAAGAAAAAGCCAACATGTTTGGAACAAAAGGAGTTTTCATTCCAAGTACTTTTTATTTCATTTTACTTTCTCAGATAAAAATCATTTACTAGATATAATTTTTCTTTCACGGATATCAAGTCTAATGCCACATTTAATTTTTTTACCTCGTCCCATAATGATACATATTTAAAGCTCAACATTTTTCAGCATACAAAAATTAAGTTATAAGATCACGTAATTATTAATTAATATTTATTGCCTTATATTTTATTTATACATTTTAAATCTTCACATGTTTTACCATCTGAAAATTAAAGTCTAATATCAACAAACATTTTCGTTGTTCTTAAGGA